AAAGGAGACGCCAGCGGCCCCAAAAGAAGAAAAAAACAATTCCTTCTCAGTCGCGAACCCCTTACGTCCAAGAACCACCGTATCTTCAAGTCTGCATCCCTGTGCCTGCTTTGAGATCATCGCCTGTTCTCGGCATTGGGTGCAGACAATGGAGGCCTGTGAGACCAGGGCAAGATCCTCCAAGCCACACGGCAACTCGTCATCATCTCGAGCTCTCATGCCGTCCATCACATCCGATCACACTCGATGAGTCCGCGTTTTGACTGCAAACACGACCCAAGGCGGCCGATATCATGTCCGCCACTGCTTTCTCTTTGACAACGTCCGGTGTTGCAAACAAATCGGCTTCTCGTATCTCCCCTTAGCTGAGCCTCCTACCGTACCTCCTTGCGGCCCGTACGCTTCAAGGGACTTCGGCCATTGAAGCATCATGCCTGCAAGACAATCTGGAAGCCGGTGCTAGCAGCCAGACTTCTGGAACCCGTCATCACCTGGCTCGCCCACTGCCGAGGCTTCTACGCTTTGGCATCGCAAACCCGTCAACGCCCACCGGAACTGCGAGTGACCGATACGGTGTGTGATCTGGTCTGGCAGCCGTACTTAGTGCATTGCTTGCACGTCAGCATCGACGACGACCCTGCCCCGATAACTCCATACGCATCGTGTTACTCAGATCATGGTGGCGTCTTGGTGACAACTTGGCCTGCTGGAAAAGCAAGCCCCATTATCCGGATTGGCGGCGGGGTGAGTCGCGGGCCCGCCGTCAGCAGAAAAAGGGGTCTCGGCCACCACTCAACTGTCGTTCTGACAATGACTCTGGGGACGGACACCAGCGCCATTACAATGTGGCTTTATTTGAAGCTTGTCAAGACCAAACATTGTCCCAAACACTGCTTCGACAGAGCAAGCTAGACGAAGCCGGCGATGCGCGTGGCGGACTGAGGCCTGCACCGCCTCAACCTGGTCCATGCTCTTTCATTTCCCCATGCCTACGACACGTGGGAAGGCAGGATACGATTTCATGAGGATCGCCCCCCCTAGCAGGTGCAGCAGTCCCTAGCCTCAGTTCGGCTTGTTCCTGACCTTGTCCAAAAAGCCCTTGGCTCGTCCCAGCAGCGTCGAGGGTAAGACACGCCGGGCGACGGATCGAAACAGCGCTCCACCATTCTTTCAACGCCATTCTTCTGCCCACCTCAGTCACTCTCCGCGTGTGGTGTAGAGTGCAACAAGTAACGTGCGCGGCGTGCAGGAAACGCATGCGACGATTCTGTATGTGAGATAGCCCGGTGGGCCTATGCAGGAACCATCTGCGTACCTGCAGGAGGCTATTTCAGGGGTTTGGGTCCTGGCACACGGTAAGCGGGCGACAAGATTCCGACTATTGGCATTAGCCCGAGTTTGTCATCTTTCGAGCTCAACACCGCCATCGTCAACGGTCTGGTTGTAGCTAAATACAGCAGCACCAGCTTTCTCTTTCTCATACGGGCCCGAGGAGGGACCAAATCCCCGACGCGTCTGCTGCCATTAGACGCCTCGAGAAACGCGTTTCCTCGACGTCAAATGGCCAATTTAACAGCCCTGGCCGTGCTCATCCAGATCTTGCACCCGCGATGCTGTCTGTGCGATGGCTGAGAGCGGCGATGACAGCATCAAAGCACTGCAGGGCACAATTAAACGCAGGATCGAGATTTCATCCGCGTGATGCTGGACGAAATGGACGCCGCCTGAAGATTTCGATTCCCCCCCCCATCGGGCGAATGACCCACGGAATCGTCGGAATGAAACGCAGCAATTCGCCATCAGGACCGCTCAGGTGAGGGCCCGTGTGTCCGCCAGACCGCAGCGGTTGCTCCGGACATCGCCGGGGTTCGTTCAACACCATGTCACGTTGGCGCTGGACATCACTACTGCGTAGTAAGGCTGCGGTGTTATCGCTCGTATGGTGCTCGCGACCTGTCCTCGTTTGTCTCGCAAGACTCGGTAAAGTCGCGTCCGAACTGCCTCGTTTGTATCTGAGAATGGCACCCTAGCATCGCAGTGCCTACCTGCAAGTCTATGTGTGAGGCGCCTCATCCTCGTCCCCTCGGCTGCACCAACGGCCCAGAGGCGCATCGCTTGTGTTGGCCCAATCCTTCCCCAACCACAGACGACGAAACGAACTGTTCTGTTTCCCGCGTTGGACAGGGCCATCGCTATGTTTCAGGCATTGCCTGGCCGGCTGACACGGCATATCCGCTCCTTTCGCAGCACAGAAACAGCAGCCACAAGTTGCACACATCTGCAGTCATCCGACGTCAAGACTTCGTCGACAGCTGTCACTTCCCGTGTTCCCCTAGAGAGAGACCCTGCAGGAGGTGTTTTAATCTCCGCATCTGGTTCCCAATACACCGGCTCGCCAATGAGTACGGTTCGTGAGAGGGGACAAAGGACAACATGTCTCGCCTTGGCGATTTGTCACTTCGTCTGTATTCACCTCCAGAAGCCTACCTCTCCATCCGCGATATGGCCCCCAAGAAGGGCCCCCGCCTAAATGCCTTCTTTTCCTCCGTAATCCCCTAAATAGGATTGCTCGTAAAATGGGAGGCGGGGAGCGGGCGCTGTAGACTGTAGATCCCCCTTCCCCTTCCTCACCGCCGCGCGCCTCATCGGCACGTCGCCATTTTTGTGTCGTTGCGGCCCGCCCGGGGGTCGTATTCTACACGGCAAGCCCCCCCTTTAGCCTCCGAGACTCAATGGACGTTGGTAGGGAAGAGAGGGGGAGAGAGCAGAGACCGTCGCAGATAGCGAAGTGTTTTGCGAAATGACGATGGTCGATGGGTGCTTGTTTTGTGTGGCAGACGCAGACGCAGACGTACCCCCGGACTGCGATCGGCAACATGGGGTTTGCAGGTGGGATGACAGGTTTCTGCTGCATGGGCGGCGGCCGCCGCTGCGGCGTTGGTTATTGTTTCTTATTTTATTCTGACAGTTCTTTGCTTTTTCTTTTTTACTTTTTGTTGAACCGTCTTCCGCGGCTTCGACGCAGGGATAAAGGCGCCGTTGAGCATGATCTGACCTTCGTTGACATCGGCCCCATAGGACTCCAGGCCTGGTTTTGTGGACGTACGGAGGAGATGAGGCTGTTCTACAAGCCGGACAGGCCGAGACAGACTGTTGTCGCTTGGAGCAGTGACAGTTCCGTATCGAGGTGAGTTATGTGGACGGCTTGCCTTGTAATTCTTTGCGTCTCGGACATCAGAGACCGTGGCTGGTTTCCCACTGGAGGCTTGATTGCGGATGAAACTGCGTGCTGTTGTTTCTTGTTCTTGTGCAGTCGAATTTGAGTGTGAAAGAGAGACAGAATCGGAAAGCATCGGCTTTCGAAACGGTACGTTTTCGGGGTTTGGATTCAGGTCGAGACATGGTGATTCTCGTAGGCGAAGTTGGAGGTGAGAGATGAGACGCAAGTTGAGGATGAGAGCGGAGGCGATCAGAGGCATCCTCTGCTACTTACCTTACTACTTGTTTCGCGGCATTCCGAGCCCTAAGCCGTTCTCAAGGTTGTCGCCCGTCTATGTATTTGCACATGGTTCTCCGCGGAATGTCGTACAGACCTGGTGCACGACTTGGATATTGCTTCTGGTCGTCATTCGCGTTCCAGAGTTTCCGGCGTTATTGCCGGTGATCATGGAACCACTCAAGTGACGTTGGGTCTCATTCGGGGTGTTTAACTTCCCGGTTGTGGCGGTCGTTCTGATGTTTGTCTATGAACATTGCTCCAGCGTTCTAATGATACAGTTCAAGAGCCGGGAAGCTGATCCGAGCCTCTTCGATCCTTGGCTTTTGACGGAGCTTTGCTACCCAGGTGAAAACGGAGCATGAGTTCGGCCAAGATTAACAGCTAACGACGACGACAACCAGCACGATGGCAGAGAGAATGAGTACTTCAGGTCTTCGCCAGCTTAACCAGGAATATCCATCCAGATAACGAAATTTCTACAATGTCAACATGGTTCTTCATCAAACGAGTTCTCAATGTCTCTTACCTTGTTATGATGGTATTTGCATGGGCCTGGCCAGACTCAGACAGAGACTTGGAACCGACGGAGACATAACAGTTGACTTGCATGCAGTGTCCCGGGATTCTCAAGACAGCGTCCATGACGCCCATTGGCATCGCGTTGAGCTATCTCACGCAGTCTCCAAACAACGATGTACAGAGTACGAATAGTTTTCGGCGATAATGCAGACTAGGAAAGGAGTTGTGGCGAGCTTGAACGAGAGTAAACGTCAAGTTGTACAATCTCTGACGTTGCTAGTTATGGCGATATCCAGTCATGTCCCACCGTTGATATGCCATAAGGCCTAGTAATATCTTGACACGCCCGCAGCGTGTCGAGGCGATGTTCTTATTGCAGTATTGCGACTGGCTGAGCATAACATTGGATCCGAGTCCGGTAATGACACGCTCACTGATAACCTTTAGTTATTGTCGCTCACCTACTAGACAACATAAAGGCGCCTTAATTCTGGTATCTTTCTCTATCTAGAGTTGCTTCAACGACAGAGGGCACAGCTTGAATAGTAGGGGCAGTCAACGCAATTTGATAGGAAGGAACGTATTCCAGAGCTGAAACCTGGATATCCTGTGATTCATGTCATTGGGTTACAGGCATGAGCACTGTTACATCTCGAGCCTGCCTAGGAGACTCTAAAGATGTCCAGGACCCATTTGATTGCGATGTTAGCTAAGGCGGTCTTTGAAAAGGATAAAGCAAGTCAACTGTCATGGAACGAGCAAGGAAAGATTTTTACGGTGGGTATATCATACTTAGATAGCTTTTGGCTACTATATCAATGTGGGTGATAAGTCTTCGGCTCAAGAGCAGAGCTGAACTAGAGCAAGGATTAGTCCACATACCTTTTCTCGATATCTCCGACATCGAGATTTCATTTACTACAGATTCTGACTTGTAATACAAACAGATACGAGAAGATTTTACATCTATTCGCTCCTAAATCTATGGAGTCGTGAGCAGACATTCAGCGGAAAGACCCTCAGCTGTCGGCGATGACGGAGAGCCTACCGCCGACGCTTCAAACGCCGATTCCCCAGAGAAGTCAGAGTGGCAGTGAAGATCCAAGAGGTAGGGATCCCAATCCTTAACATCAAGAGCCAAGAGGTTTCGAAACTGGCCAGTTCCGAGAACGGTTGCGAGATCCATCACGCGAACTTGTCCAGTTACTAAAATGTAGTACTCAGTGAAGAGAAAATCACTGCATGTCTCGAGGCTGAGTTCGAAAGTTGTTACTCTGGCGAATTTGACCTCAGAGTCCTGGAGCTGCTCGTTGCTTTCTTCGTCGACAAAGTACACCTTCTCGGACTGAGATCTAGTGTTTTCAGGCATCGACTTTACTCGGTCCTCTATGCTGGTGGTTGGCTTGCCGAAGCTGTCGTGTTTCTTGAACGAAGGAATCTCGTCACGGAGCCTACCTAAAACCATACGACGACCAGGGGTTTTGAACTTCTGCCCCTGTGATTCATCTTCTACGGGATGCTCCGTACTGTGAATGACTGCGTGAACCCTGTTGAACAATTTCGACCATGCCAATGTGAGACGCATGGGGTACTTCACGCCTGGGCCGTCGTCAACCCCTTTTATGCTGATATCAATGGAAGCCCCGAAGCTTTCGGATGGGTTTGGTCTTATGAAAGTGCTGAAGAATTCATCCCAAAATTGCCTCGGGTGTGGATTGATAAAATCAACCTCCAAAGATGGTGGAAGAGTGACGTTGATGTGAAAGGATCTGTGCAATCGCCTCTTAATCCATGATTCCTCATCAACGTCTACGTCTTTCCTGACGTAAGCCGTAAAAGCCTGGTTCTTTGGGAATGAATCATCGATATCGCTGAACAGGGACCATGGATGGGAGCGAACAAACCCATCAGCCGTGCGTACGAGTGAAATACAAACGTCTGCACCAGTTTCTGAGTCTGAGAGTCCCAAGTTCATGACATAGATACCGTTCTTTCCTTTCCGAAACGTCGTGTCGATTCGAACACCCTTATTCGCAAGCGAAAAGTCGCACACGTCATCATCATTCGTATTGCGATGCAGTTTCGGGCCATCAACGAACTCTTCTGGTGAACGGGACAGGATTCCTCGAAACTCTTGCTTGAGAGAAGACACAAGTGAGCCATCAGGGCTTCTCTCTTTCGCTTGCCATGCAAATAAAGAGAGATCGTTGGTCTCTCTTGCAATTTCCTCCTGGAGCCGACGGAATGCCCTGGAGCCCTCCCCATACAACATGGGCATATTGATGTCGAAGATTCCAAGCAAAGAGTAAGCTTGATCTTCGATTCGTTTCGTCTTCCGATGAGCTGCCCATGACATTTTCACTGCGACTGGAACCGTACGTAGTAATTGTCTAGACTCCAATACGTCACGGGGAATGCTCGTAATACGCTCCAACTTTTCAGCAAGCTCGTTGTTGGTTGCTAACGCTTTCCACCGTGTGTTGTAAAATGTAACAGAGCTGGGGGCGATCAACTCTTGCAAAGTTCAGCCACGAGTGAACCATCTGCTACTATTAAGCGCCTTCTATTCCACAGTGTACGTAGTAAAAGAGGAAAACGGAACGTCAAATGTGAAATCCGATAAGTAAACAAAGCATACGACTGAAAGTTTGTACCATTGGAACATGGAGTTGATGGCTTCGCTCAGTTCCGCGCTACTTGACTTATCGATGCAGCAAGTATCGACCCAAGCGTATGGGATGCTCCTTTGGCGAGATAATTCGCAGGTCTTTGAGATTTTGGCAAAGCCGGCTTTCTTTCGAGCCGAATCGAGGTCGGAAATGTCCTGGAATGATACTTCATCGTGCTCCCACGTGTGCGAGAGAATCGCATAATTGACGGTTGACGGATCGACGATTTCCTGCAATTTTAGTGTTTGGGTGTCAAGGAGCCACATCGAGAGTGCTTGGAAGATTCGCCGGTTTCAACAGTATTCACCATAGTGAAGAAGGACGTATGCTGAGCGTTGAAGCGGGGTTTTGAGGTGTTGTGATAGCTGTTGTCATGATTGGCCGACTGATGCCCACTGCTGCCTAGTGATCATGCACGTCGCACAACCCATCCTTGGCGATGTTTTCATTTTCGTCTGTCTGGAAGTCTCAGAGTCGAATGCTAGTCGAAGAAGCTATTGAGCTGGTGATGTTCGGGATGTTTGGAGGAAAGCATGAATCTGTGATAATGAAATTGAAGGTTGGTACTCAATGCCTGTGTAAGAAATGGCAGTGTAAGAGTCGCTAGCACGTGGGCTGAACAGCTGTATGAGTGATAGTCAGAGACCTCTACCACCTGTAAGCTGACGGCCAAATCCAAGTATTGTCTTATCGGCCGGAGCACACCCCCGAATCGGCAAGTCAACAACGCGGCCGTGTTGTCCGGCGCACGCCGCCGCGACTTTCCTTTCCTAGGAGACGGAGTCTGACTCTTGTCGTCGTAAGAATAGCGCCGAAAGATTGAAATGCCAAGAGCGCAACGGGAGGTTGATATACACGTTCAAGAGTTGAGGGACCAATGAGTCCACCCACGTGTGCCGAACCTGGGGTTCAATTGGCCCAGCTGGGGCAAATGGAGCCCCGTTCTGGATCCCACCCCAGATGGAGGTCCTTTGGAACTGGACCCCTGTTTAGTCCGAGGTTCTGGACGCAGACTTATTTTGGAACTACTGCGGCCGGGGGCTTTCGTTGGGTGACGACCGCGGGATGTCGAGAGGGGTCTTTTGGTGGATTCAGTGTTGGTAACGCTTTAACAAGCTGACATGAGTTGGTGGGAGCCCTCAGACATCATGAGATGTGTGTGGCGATGGCTGCAAAATGTCGCCGTTGCCGACGGCGCAAAGTGTCTTCATGTGAGTTTCCGTGACGTGAATGACGCCGATATGACGGCCAAAGTCTCTTTGAAAGGTGATCAGGTTCATCCCGATCGGATGATCGATAGAATCATCGTCAATGGCACCTTAGCTCGCAAAGACTCTTATACGCAAGGATACCTTTCCAGAGCGCCGGAATGAGACGATGCGCATGTAACCAGCGCGCGCGCGTCACACATGAACTATTCATTAAACCAGAAGAAATTCGGCCTGCCAACAGGGAGCGCCGACAAGGCACGTGGGTGTTGCAGTGCAACCGAGCGGAGCGAGCAGTCCGCATAGAGTCAAAAGGCACGCGACAGCTGCGTTATCTTCAATATCGACTTTCCAAGACGGGTGTCACCGGCTGCACAGCCCAGGGCTTGGCCTCCCTCTTGGCGATCGCATCATTGCGTCTTCAGTGGTAAAAAGCCCGCGATGCCAAGTGCCAAGTAGCGGGAGCCAGCGGGAGTTCCAGCAGGGTTTGAGAGCCGCACTGGAATGACGTCCAACAACATTTCAACGTCGCAAAGCCTCGAGTTGCGCTTGAAATTGGTCGCTTTTGACCAGAGGAAGAGTTGCTGTTTGTTATCGAGGCTATGAGACCGGCCGTTGTTGCTGATCTAGCATCGCCGTCGCAACGTGCTCCAATTCGGCGCTGTGATTGGCCCGCCCAGTCCGGGAACGTCTTGAGCTTCCCCCGGCCGTCCCCACGGAAGAGTCGGCAGAATCCAGCCTGACAGCATCTGAATTGTACCTGCGGCGCGAAGGGACATGTCTGTCAATCAGGCCGCTGTACCTCTCTTTTTGGCCGCCTGTCCTGGTCGCTCGGTAGATGAAAGAGGTTAAGGACGGCCGGACCCAGCATGGTCGTTGCCCGACTTGCGACAATGATTTGCCTGCGACGAAGTGTATGCGCAATTGCATTCTTCTGATAGGCTCCCTTGAATTGTAGATATTGACCCATTCAAGCCAATACGCCGAGCCCGCGTCTCGTAGTTACGAGCCAACTCGAGCCGATGTGGTGTTTCTGTATCTAGGATGAACTGGTTGAGCGCCAAGGTGCCAGTTGGGCGATGAATCGAAGCCAAGACCGATCTGCCGTCGCCAAGAACATTCGCGAGTTTGCCAAAAAGCTTGACCGAGTGCTGGCTGTGTTGCCATCGATCCTGTAGGATGATGCTGTGCCAGGACAACCTGGGCTCAGCATACAACATCGGAAATTGTTAGGGCGGTACTGCGCAGGTCGCCGACGCGCGCGACCTGCACCCCGGCATCCCATGTTAAGCCCATGTTGTCTTTGCGAGCGTCCCCATTGGCCTCAACTCAACTTGACATGAGCGGGCCGCTCCAACTCTGAGCGTAAGTTGTGTTGATTTCGCTCTCTTCCGTCGCTGGGAAATAGTTATTCCCATGATTCCCGAACAGGTCGTTTCTGCTGTTTGAGCGCAGCGTTGCCGGTGTCAGAGGCAAAAGTGAAAAGGGCGGCAGCCAGTCGGGAGGCGTTGTCTGAGATTCAGCCCAAGAAGAGACGAGGGACGAAGTCTGGGAAAAAAGTGAAAAACACACGCTATCCCCAATCGATCGCCGAGCACGGCTCCACACACATGTCGTGGGCAGCAAAGATCCCTGTTTGACTCTGGACGATGTTAGTCGTCGACCGGCGTCTCCAGTCTGTTGGTGCCAGCTACGACCAAGCAGCATCCCGCGTGGCCCCCGTCTTGTGTCCCAACCCACACCAACGGGGGCTCGCTTTCTCTTGTCTGACATGGCCCGTCGAGGACACGAGTTGGATACTCGTGTGCAGCTTCGTCCCTTGTCACTCGCCTTACGCGGTACAATTCCTCCCTAGTCTTCCACGCTAGGACGTAGTCTCCGAGGTCGAGGCTGATCTCGAACCATGTCTATTCGTCTCCCTGGTCCGTCGCATCTCCGCTGAAGGTGTTCGTTTTCCATGCATGCAACGCTGCGAGACCCTTCAGCTCAGATGGCATGTAGTCCTTGTCCGCGCCCGGCCCAGCCATATAAGCCAAAGTCCTCCCCGGCCGCTGCGCATTTGAGTTTCTCTGTCCTCGCGCTCCTCATCCTTCCCAGCAGGTAACCCAGAGTCTCCGAACCCTCTCTCTCCGAACCTTGCCGATCGTTTCATCCGGGGCTCAGAGGAGATCGACACCATGGCCGGCGTTATCCAACCCAACAACGCCGCGGCGGACGGCGCCGTCACCACCAGCGAGCTGACTTCGGCTGAGGTCAAGAACAACAAGACCTCCGGAGGCAACGCTGCTTTCCACAACTTCAACAACGACTTCGCTCACGTGGCCGATGCTAACGAGCGTCGCCGTCTTGCACTCGCCGAGATCGACAAGGCCCCCTTCGGCTGGTACCATGTCCGCGCTATCATTGTTGCCGGTATTGGTTTCTTCACCGATTCGGTATGGAATCTGGTTTCTTATGAGGGGTAATTGATGCTGACTTGAGCCTAGTACGATATCTTCACCATTGGTCTCGTTACGAGCATGTTGGGCATCGTGTACTACGGCGGCACCCTCCCCGCAGAGAACGACACTGCGATCAAGGTTGCAACCAGTGCCGGAACTGTCGTCGGACAACTGGGATTCGGTATTCTCGCTGATATTGTCGGCCGTAAGAAGATGTACGGTGTTGAGCTCATCATCATCATCTTCGCGACCATCGCCCAAGCTCTCTCCAGCGGCTCTCCCTCAGTCTCCATCACCGGTCTCATGGTTTTCTGGCGTATCATCATGGGTGTCGGTATCGGTGGTGACTACCCACTTTCCGCTATCATTACTTCTGAGTTCGCCACTACCAAGTGGAGAGGATTCATGATGAACGCCGTCTTCGCCAACCAGGGTTTCGGCCAGCTTGCCGGTGGCTTGATGATGCTCATCGTCACCGCTGGTTTCAAGGGCTCTCTGTCTACTGCTACCAAGGCTGCTACTTGCGCTACTACTGAGCCTTGCTTGATCGCCGTCGACAAGATGTGGCGTACCATGGTAAGTGTCTTGGATCCGATCATTATTTTCACTCATTTTCTTGCGGGGGCTTTGCGTAGCAACTACAAAACAAACTGAATCAACCATGACGATGTAAAGATTTAGCAGCTAACATGTTTCAGATTGGCTTTGGCGCTGTTCCCGGCTGCCTGGCTCTCTACTTCCGCCTCACCATCCCCGAGACCCCCCGTTACACTTTCGATGTCGACAATGATGTTCAGAAGGCCGAGGGCGACGTCGACTACTACAAGCAAGGAAAGTGGGGTGAGGCCGAAGTTGATGAGGCTGCCCGCGTCGCTGCTCGCGCGCAGGCCAAGCAGGAGCTTGAGGTCCCCAAGGCCTCTTGGTCTGACTTCTTCCGCCACTACAGCCATTGGAAGAACGGAAAGGTCCTTCTTGGTACTGCTGGTTCCTGGGTATGTTCAGCCCTCATTTCAGATATTTTGGCGGTGCGAAAGACGTCGCGTTGGCATCGCGTTGTTGGATCCCGACTCAACCACCAACATCACCACATCTCAAGACATCATCATCTCATCACCACAACACGAAACTAACTCTTTTTTAGTTCATGCTTGACGTCGCATTCTACGGTCTTGGCTTGAATAACGCCATTATTCTCAATGCTATCGGATGGTGTAAGTCTCAAATGGTCTTGAGGGTTTTGGTGATTTCGAACTGACGATGGCTTCAGCCGGCGGCGCGGACATGTACCACTCGTTCTACCGTACCGCTGTTGGCAACCTCATCTTGGTTCTTGCCGGAGCCGTTCCTGGATACTGGGTTTCCGCTGCCTTGATTGACACGATCGGCCGCAAGCCCATCCAGCTGTTTGGTTTCTTTGCTCTTGTAAGTCAAGTCTGAAACTCGTACCATCCCAATTTTTAACAAGAGAAACAGACGCTCCTCTTCTGTGTTATCGGATTTGACTTCTGGAACCTTTCCGGTGGTGCTCTGATGGCCCTGTACACCCTGGCTCAGTTCTTCTTCAACGCCGGCCCCAACTCCACGACCTTCATCGTTCCTGGAGAGTGCTTCCCCACT